GTCCAATGAGATGCTCTAAGCTTCTGTTATTTTCCTTTACAAAGAGAAGGGAACGCGCTAGTGCCGAGTGCATCCGCCCAGGGGCAGGCTGGGGCCAATGGGGGCAAGAAATGGCAGAACAAGGAGTAACAATTCCATCTGTTCACGCGTTAACGGAAACTTTGAACGAAGCCAACCTCATTTCCGCGCCGAATCAAGTTGGTGACATAGACTTCCGGTTGATTGCTGAACTCCATCATCGGTCCAGCCGCGCTGATGAAGTGATATCAGCCAGTGAAGAGAAGGTTGCGACGTCGCATGGCATATTCAACCAACATGTTGTCCAGCGTCATCAGTTGATCGTCCTGGCGAGAACGCGGTCCGTTCGGCTCTATTTGGTGCTAATATTTTGTTGCATGTCCAATTCTAAGTACAGTGATGGCCCGTGCGATAGGCCAGACATGGTCATAGTTGCACCACAATTAATCTTTGAATATGCGTCGACACCCCCAGCTACGATGCCACTGGAGAAAGACATTATTCATGATGGACCGCCTGGGTTGTCTGAGCTTGTGGATAACATATGGAACCAACCATTCGACCGAATCCCCATTCACGGGAGATGGGGGCGGATTCTGCTAGCTGCACGAGAAGTAACGTGCTTGTTCATGTCTGCGGGGATCAATGTTGCACTTCCGGATTCCGAGGTACAGCGTCACCCAAACCATGCGAATGCAGCTCTTGAAGCTATGCGTGATGCTAATGCTGTGGATTGTCGGATTAGATCCGCTATCAAATCGTTTGACCAAATCCATGCATGGGCCGATGGATTATGAAACGAGGTATCAGAGACCGCCAGACGGAATGGCTCAAGTATCCAAGAAGCTATAGGTTTCATGCATGTGTCTACGGAATCTCATTTTAGTGTCAAGATCTGTCTAGCCAACAGCCGTTTTGGACTTTTCGACGCAGACAATGCCATTGGAATTACCAATTGCCTGAAGGAGAAAAAGGAGGAGAGCGGCCCGGCCGACTCCCCCGCAGAGACAATCCCAGCTGAATATCCAGCAGATGCTGCAATCGCGATCGTCGAAGAAAACGCCCCGAGCGGCGCCGCCGCTCTGGGGCAGCGAACTCAGCGACATCTTCGCCCAGAATCGAGAGCGAGGTACCGGGGAGGGAGGCAGTCCTATAGGACCGCCCCCTGAACTACTGCGCCCGCCGGCCCAGCCGCGTCGGGCAATGGGCAGATGAATATTGGGCCGATGAGCCCGTTATAGAGAGATCGGCTGTAGAGACGGGCGGCCGCGCGAGCGACGGCGGCGGCGCCGGGCCGGCCATGGGCGGCAGCTACGACGCGACGGTCGACTACGAGGACAAGAATGATAATGGAGAAACTCAAGGGTAATACGTACATGTATGTCGTCATCAGCGGGTCACTGGCCGTGTCAAAACTTGGCGTTGGTTTAGTTTGAACGACTACAGCGACAAGTTCAAACGTGACCCTGGGACGCCGAGTACCTTGCCAGAGCCGCCGCCGCCGCCAACGCCGAAGGCGAGGCCGCGCCAGAAGGGTCAGGGCAAGAGTGGGCCAAGCAGCTAGAGTTCAAGTAGAAGAGAAAATAGGCATGGAAACTATTCCAGAGATCAGTACCAGTGGAACTGGAGTGACAGAGACACGTGGGATGATTCTCGTGAATGGAGGGGTCATTGGCAGAGGTGACGCAGCGCAAGAAGAACCAGTGCGGCATAGTCGATGCTGGTCCTAACTACATCATGGAGCGGGTGCACCAGGTGTGCACGGGCATTGTGGCCTGAGCTGGGAAATACTAGCTCAGGCGGGGAACGTCGGGCTACTTAGGCCTTCCGCCCTCCGGCAACCACCGTTGAGCGGTAACGTGCTTTTGGGGTTCGCTCCGGTGGCGTTGCATATGTACAGGCCAGGTGGGTTGGGGGTCGGGGCGGCTCTACTGACCCCGCCGCGGGGGGAGTCAATGCGCCCCTTCCGCGCCGCCATCCTATTGCCCTTCCTGCTCCTTTACCTTGCGTGCGCTGTCCGATGTACTGACTGCTTCTCTCCCGCAGCTACACTTTGGCTCTAGGATAGCGGAAGAGGAGCGCGCCTGCGGCGCGCGCGCGCGTGCGTCGGACGGCGGGCCGGCCTCTTCCCTTCAGTGCTATCCGAGTGCAAGGTTGACGGCGTGATCCCTTCTTCCCCATGTCGTCGGTGGAGCCCTCTGACCATGAGACATCGACATCTGCCAGGGATTATGAATATTCAGGCAAAAGAATTTTCGAGGCAGTATCCCAGCACCGATCACACCGAGGCAGTACACGGACATATCCCAGCACGCAGCCTGGCCCGGCACACCGAGGCAGTCACGCATCCCAACACACGGGGCCTTACACATATTCCAGGCAAGGTCGGTCGGTCGAAATAGTGCAGTGCGAGATCACGCCGGTAGGTGTGATAAGTAAACATGTCATGCAGCCACCCCCCTGGGCAGTCCAATTGTGCTTGCCAAAGCGCCCGCTTGGGGTGACCGTGTTTCCCAGGGCGTTTTCGTGGGCCGCCCAACCCCGCACGGCACCTTACCAGGTATCTTGATACTGCAAGGCACCTTGCAAAACACTATGTAGGGCACGCTGGAGCGTGAGAAGCTATCTGCCACACACTTCCTGGGGATACTTGGTATGTTGCAACGGCCTATGGCGTGCCGGGCCGTTCGCGAACTTACCTGGCTAGCGTTGGGCGGAGATCCAGCAGCTCGATTTCACAGGGTCGAGCAGACTACTGCAAACCGCCCGAGGCATCCCCACAAATTGGGCGCGAACGGGTCCGTACAACCACCCCCGGCGGCTCCCCCATGGTGTCTTGACACCAGCGCCTTATTCGAGTCATCTTCGCAGTTTGCGAGTCTGAGTGCGAGAGCGTCGCGCGCCCAACTGCGAGTGCGGTTGATTGTGAGTGAGTTTGAGTGTGAGTGACTTTGTGAGTGAGTGGGTTCGAGTGTGCGTGAGTCTGAGCATGAGTGAGTCTGAGTGCGAGTGAACCCGAGTGCGCGTACGCATGAAAATGAGTACGAGTAAGTTAGAGTGTGAGTGAGGATGCGAGTGGGTCTGGGTCTGGGTGTGAGTGAGACAGAGTGTGGATGTGTTTGCTTATGAGTTAGCTTGAGTGAGAGAGGGAGGATAACGTGAAAAAGTCTGCGTGTGAGTGAGTCTGAGTCAGAATACGGGCGAGTGTAGGTATAGTGAGTATGAATGCGAGTGAGTCCGAGCATGAGTGAGGGTGAGTGGGAAATGCGTGGAGTTGTGTGAGAGGTACGGTGTGAGGTTTGAGTCAGAGGCATCTGAGTGTGGGTGGTTATGAGTGTTGATGACTCAGTTGGAATATGAGTGAGTTTGAGGCAGTGGGGAGGAGAGCGACGAGGAGCAGAGAACGTTGATGAGAGCAGAGTCGTCCAAGTAATAGCACGAGTCCCATCTTAGACTGGGGAGCACCTACAATAATTCACTGGCTCTGGCCTCCTGGAGATCCTCTCGGGGTTTCCTGTGGCACATCTTAGGGTCACCTTGGCTTATCTTGGGTGTATGTGGGCAGTCTTGGAGACATCTTGGGGCCATCTTGGGTTTTCTTGGGATCAGTTTTGCCGTCTTGGAGGTCATCTTAGCCGTCTTGGAGGCATCTTGGAAGCCTTCTTGGGCCATCTTGCCAGTCTTGAAGGCTCTTTGTGCAATTATAGGTTTGTTGCGCGGGTGGTTCCAATTGGCTGGTTGGATCGGCCGAGACCCCTTTGGGAACCCTTCAGGCATGTTTACATCACTAGAGAAGTGCCCCCCTGGCCCCCCGTTTGATACATGAGCAGGGTGCGACGTGTCGAAGACGCCTACAGCGAATCACCGCGCCCCCTGCCCTTTGGATTCGCCCATGTGGCCAAACGGTGGGCCGAAGTCTGGCGAAGCTATTGGACTATGTGTTTCACCAGTGGTTGTGGAACCCCTTGGCGGGAACACTTGGGAGTGGAAGAGAAACGAGGAGTAGAGGGAGGAGTAGGAGGACGTGGAGGAGGATGAGGAGGAGGAGGAAGAAGAAGAAGACGACGAGGAGAAGGCCTTTTCAGGCCCTCTGGGGGCCCCCTGGAGGCTTCGTGGGTGCCTCTGATGGTCTTGGAAGTCTCCTGGGGCCTCCGGAGGCCTCTTGGGGGCATCTGGCGTGGCAGTTTCTAATTGACCGCTTTTTCTTATGAGGTCCGCTTGGCGCCCTCTCTGGGTAGTCGTGGGTCCCTCGTTGGGTCGTTTTGGAGGTCGATGGGGCTGTTTTGGGGCAGTCTGTGGGGCCTCTTGGACCGTCTAAGGGCCCTCTGTCCTGTTGGGGGCCTCTTGGGGTCCTCTTGGCGTCCTCTTGGGCCGCCTTGGGGCGATGTTGGGGGTATATGCGGTCACATTGGAGCGTCGGAAGCCCGACGGGGCGAGCATGTTAAGCTCATTTCGAAACTCATTCGAGCCCCTTTGGGGTGTCTTGGGGGTCCCTTAGGCCGTGTGCAGGCCATCTTAAGCCGTCTGGAGGGCATTTTGGCCGTCTTGGAGGTATCGCGGGACCGTCTTCGGGGTCATCTTGGGCCATGGCGGCCATCATGGAGGCAACCGTTGGCCTGTCTTGGGGCCTTCCTGGCCCCCAAAACAAGTCACGCGACAGCACGTGGGGAACCCCGGGAGTCACGCGCCACGCCCTGGCAGATCCGCGAATTTGGACTGTGGACGCAAGGCTGAAGGGACAGGAGGACACTCCAATTCGTGCCTCAGAGTACGGTGGTGGATATGGAGGGTGGCAGGGTGCAAAGTGGCAGGATGTGGAGGGGGAGATATTCTCTTCGTGGGGACGGAGGAGGCCAGGAGAAGGAGGACGAGGACGAGGACGGCGAGGACGAGGACGGAGACGAAGCTGGCCAGAGAGCGTGCGAGAAGCTTCCTGGTGCGGCACGCGACGCGTGGCGCGCCGACGCCGGTCGCCCGTGCAGGGAACGATAGCGTACCCGGTCATGGCCGCTGAGCAGTTGTTCGTCGGAGAGGCCGCCGCTCTTTTTCGCCAGGGTGTCGGAAAGGAGGCAGCCCCACAGGGAAAACGGGGTTCAGCGCACACAGGGCTCAGCCAGAGCGCTGGATCCCGCAGGATCCTGCAAAACCAGATTTTGGCCGAGCCGGGTTTGAGACCCGGGCGCGGCCTTGGTGGCCGAGCCCGGTTTGGGAAGCCCCACGAATGATTTGCAGCGCATGTATTTGGAGGTGGCTAAGCCAAGTTTGCGCCGAGTCCGCTTAGTCCATGCCCGAGAGAGGTGGAAGTCAGGGGCAAGGTTCAGGAAGGGTCAAGCTCAGGGGGGAACGTATCGTCACAGAATCGCCCACTGATCGCCAATCGCTGATAGGAGCCTGATAGCACACCCCGCCCAGGAAGGGTCGGATTCGCAATTGGGGGAATACCGCCAATCTATCGGCGACGCATCGTCGTTTCCATGTCGATATTTCCCCCCCGAGCCCCCCCCCCCTACGTTTCCCCTCAGGAGGGATGGGGGGGGAATCGTGGGCGGAAGGGGTTGGAGGACAGGGGCATGGGGAGAGGGGAGGGCAGGCACCCACAGGACCCCACAAGACCCCTTGGCGTGTTATGCGCAGCCACAGAAGGGGGACTGAGCACATTTGAAGAGGAGGCAGTGGCAGGTAAGCAGGAGGATGAGCAGGAGGAAGAGGATGAGAATGCGGAAGGAGGCGGACGAGGAGGAACAGCAGCATCAGGAGCAGAAGAACGAGGAATGGGAGGAGCAGGTTGACCAGAGAAAGGCGGAGGAGGGGAAACGAGCGGGGCGACACCGACGAGGGAAGGACTCCGATCCAAAATCGTGGCCCGCGCTCGGGCGAGACTGCCATCTGAACGATGGGAGCAACACGTCGATCCTCAGATGAAGCCAACGCTTGAGCAAGACCACCATTTTGAAACACAAGGGACGTCCCGCTTGAAAAGCGAACCTATGAAGCATCATGTGTTGTACTCATGCCTAGAAGTCCAAGCAGAAACAGCATGCGGGAGTAAAACTGCCCCGTTCGGGCCAGCTCCAGGCCCCCGACGGCGCCGGAGCGGTGCCGCCGACCACGCGGGCGCGGAGGACAGAAGGAGACGGACGTGAAGGCTGAGGTGATGGACGTCGTGGAGGAGGAGGCCCCGCAGGGCAGTGGCGAAGCTGGTAACGCGGCGCTCTCCAGCGGGAGGACGGGGGCGGCCCTGACGGCTGGTGCTGGGGCTGAGGCCGCTGGGTCGTTGGTTGACGACGCTTGGGAGGATGACCTCCCGCCGCGGCGCGCGGGCGTGGGCCGCGGCGGCGGGGCGGCCCGAGGGGCCAGCCTCGCCGGGCTTTCCGGGACGGCGGTGATGGTCGGGGCAGTCAACTCGGCAGTCCGAGTTCGACGGCACGGGTAAGGCCGTCGCGTTTTCCATCGTGCTCTTCGTGATCGTCAGCTGATGGTGCCTTCGGTGCGTTCACCCTCCGACCTCTTGCGGAGCCGTTATTATTTTTCTCGTTATTCGTTTTCTTCTTATACGTCGTCTTGTTACTTCTCTTGTTATTCTTAGTGTTATCCTCAGTGTGCCTTTTTTTCGTATTGTTAGTACTACTCCTCTTCCCTCTCCTCCCCCTCCTCCTGCTCCTACCTCTTCTCATTCCTCTCATGCCCTTGATCGGCGCAGCTCTTTGCCCGTGGCCAGGGCGGGGGTGCCTTCTCAAGAGGGATCCACGCCCCCCCCCCCTGCGGCGCGGGCGCGAGGTGGTCCGCATTGTGCCGGAGAGGGGCGGGGGACACCCGAAGGCCCCGCCGCGCTTGCGCCTGTTCGCGGGGGCCTCGCCTCTCGGAGGAGGGCTGGCCGAGAAGACGACGGCCCTCCCTGGCGCTTTTTGCTTAGCTTTTTTCGCCTCCTGGAGGCTTCTCGTCGCCACGGCTGGGTTCGCTTCGAGAGACGGTTCAGGGTAGACCCCGGGAGGGATCCGCGGACGCATTTTCAGCAGATCCGGTCTTGGCGAGGGGGCCGCCGTTGTCTCGATTGGCCTTCTTCCGAGCCCCCCAAACATGGCCAGGGCAGATGGGGTCGGAGGGCTCCAAGTGCTCATGCAATTGCGGTAGTGAGATGGTGTTGCGGGACACTTCAGGACGAATAATTGCACCACGCAGCGAGGATATGGAGTTCAGACAGACCATTGTTCCACGCTTTGCGTATCCACTCCGGCCAGTTCAAGAACCCTGCCCATGAGAGTTACGGGGAAGGGACGAAGAGACACATATAGTTGAGCAGAGCTCGGCAGATCCATGGAGGATGGAGACGAGGGGAGGATGAGAAGGAGGGGGAGGAGGGGGAGGAGGAGGAGGAGGAGGAGGAGGAGGAGGAGGACGAGGAGGAGAACCAGTGTGAGCCCAAGACTCACCAACGATGTTGCAATACATCGTCCCTCCAAGCTCCCTCTTCATAGGCCCCTAGAAGGGATCCTTTTCACTGAAGGAAGTACCGCGTTGGAAAACAACCGTTTGAAAATCCTGAACTGCTCCAGAGCACAGTTCCTGAGACTTCCAGGCTGCGAATCATCGTTGGTTTTGTGTCGTGACGATCTTGAACCACGCCAGAAATAATTTCTGGGACTTCAACAACACGAATCAGTGTGACGTGTTGCGGACTCAGAGTCCCAACCATTTCCTCCATTTCCCTCCTCCCATTTCCCATGGTCCTTTTGCTCCTCCTAATACTGCTGCTGCTGCTGCTCCTAGTCATTCCTCTCGGTCCTTCTCATCCTCCTGCTGATCTGTCACCGCCTCGTCCAACTCATCGAGGCTGCAGCCAGGGGAGAGAAAGTAATTCAAATCAATGGGAGGATGGCAAGGGTGCCAGATGGGGCGCGAGTGCACCTAGCTTGCCTGTCTCCCCCTTCTCCCTTTCCACGCTGCTCCTCGCCTTCCCCCATTCGCCCCCCTACCCCACACTTCCCCCCATAATCGTCCCATCCCTCCCCTCTGCTCCCCCGCGCGTTGGCACCTGCGCAGAAGAATACTCGCGCGCGTGGAGCAACAGGGATAAGCAGGAGGCATGAGAGGAATGAAAGAGTTGGAGGAAGACGACGATGAGGAGGAGGAAGGGAAGAGGAGGAGGAGGAGGAGGAGGAGGAGACGAGGAGGATGGGGGAGGATGGAACGAGGGAGAAAGAAGAGGAGGAAAAGGAGGAATACGAGGCCCCACCTTTCGCCCCCGGCACTGGAACCGCCGACCTTCCCTGCGGGCCTGGGCCGAGGAGTGGTCCGTCGACCCTGAGCTGCCCGAGGGCCTGATCATCAGCCCTGGCACAGGCCAGCGGCCGCGCGGCCTCCGCTGTCCTCCTCCTCCTCCTCCTCCTCCTTCTCCTCCTTCCGTAGCCATTTGGCTCAAGCCATTTTGGCTCAAGGCCGTCTCGGCTCAGGGTGGTCTGCGCGACCCGCTCGGCCTGGCTCCCCCCGACCCGCTCCTCGGGTCTTCCTGCTCCCTCTCCCTCGGGCCGGGCGCGCCCAGGTGCTCCTCGCGCCTCTCCCTGCTCCCGCCATGGCTGAGATCGCCCGTGTGGCAGCGGCTGTGAGCGGCCTGCCTGCACTGTCTGGACCGCCTCCCACTCCTGCCCCCTCGGGGGCCGTGGGGGAGGGCGCGCCTCCGCCCGCGCCCCAGGTACCATCGGATGTGGCGGTGCAGCTCAGCGCCTTGACGGTGATAGTGAAAGAGGGGTTTACCTCGCACAAAGCAGAGTTTGAGTTGTTTCGCCAGCAGATGACTGTGATGGGGACCAACTTCGATCGAATGCAGGAGGAGTTTGCGGAGATGAATCGTCGCTCGGAGGCTCGTTGGGCAGAGATAGAGAAATCCCAGGATGCAGCGATCCACCAGGTCTCGGTTGACACAGATGCGAAGTTGGCGGCAGTAGTGGCAAAGATCGACGTTCAGATGGCAGAGTTACAGCAGAAGCTCTCAGCAGGTTCGTCGACTCGTGCCGATTCGGAGTTCGAGCTCGGGGGAGGTGATGGGGAAGGAGGGCGTCGGACGAGGTTGAGGACGTCGGGCCCTGACCAAACCAGTGCTACTCGTCTCATCGTTCTCGGCTTTGAGAAGCCCCTGCTGGAAGCGTCTCTCAAGGAAGCTGTGGCCCCGATTGTCGCTGCGTGTAGTCCAGCGGGTGAAGGACCGATCGTTCGAGCATACTCCCTCGCGCGGAAGGTGATCCTTGACTTCCCCAGCACTCTGTCGTGCACGGCGTTCTTCGGTAAGAGCCAGACCGTTGGTAAGACTGTATACCAGAGCCCGATTGATGACCAGGGCTGGGAGCTCCGCGTGCGTCGTGACCTGCCCCCCGCCAGCCGCAAGTTGTTCTACTACCTGGGACAGACTCGTGCGATCATCGGGAAGGTCTTGGGGGAGAAAGGTTTCCTGGTGGGCAGCAGCGGTCTCGGCGGTCAGATTTACGGCCTCATTACGGCTACCCGCCCTGTGATTATTGCGAAGGTCACGGCCCTTGAGTGCGGTCGCCCCGAACTTGTTCTGATCCCTGAGGCCCTCGGAACGTTCGGAGTAGGTGAGCGCGCTGCATGCATTGCCACCCTTTTTGATCAGATTCGGCCCTTTGTGCGAGGGCCCCAGTTGTCCTGGAGCTCCCCGCCTCGGGATTCCTAGTGCGCTGTCTGTTTTTTGTTGTTGTTGTTGTTTTTTTTTTTTTTTTTTTTTTTTTTTTTGCTGTTTTTTTGTTTTTGTCGGGTCCCCGGTGGTTCGGGCCCCCCCTGGGACGGCGGGCCTGTCGGGGGAAACCATCGGGCCCGTGCGCCGACCAGCCGGGATAGTGCTCAGCCAGCCAACCAATGTTTTAATCTGAAATCAGGAGGACCGTTTACCCCTGGTGACCCGTCCTCTGGAGCGAACGGGGTGTTTGCTCCCTCCTCTGCGCCTGCCTTGTGCTCTTGGAATACACGTGCTCTCTTCTCATCGTACTCGACTTCGTCTCCACTGGCAGCTCGGCGGTATAAGCAGATGTATGGTCTGGTTGGCAGGTTTGATGCTGTGTTTTTACATGAGACTCATGGCGCGGCGTCTGATGTGGAGATGTTACAACGTGATGACCGTTGTCGTAGCGCAATTGTCCACCATTCGATGATCGATCCGAGGGCTGGGGGCGGTGTGGTTGCTGTGATATCGAGTAAGTTGGCTTCGCAGTTCGAATCGATCACTCCGTTTCCGTTGATTGCTGGCCGTGTTCTCGCCTCGCACCTGAAAGGGCGTCGTGGGGACCTTGTGATTGTCAATGTGCACGTGCCGATTACTTCTGATCCAGTTGCGATGTATCGCAGGTACCTGTGTGTGATTCAGGCGTTCCTTCTATTGGCTGCGCACACTATGTGCTTGATTGCTGGGGAGTGGCACTTTATGGAGGTGGAGGGGGGGCGGTTTCGGACAGACGGCACGCGGTTATCAGGGGATAGGGAACACACTGATGCCTTTCAGTCTATTTGTGGGTCTTGGGCTGAGCTCTTCCAACCTGATCCGACGCGGCGCGATGTTTTCCAGGGAGAAGTCCGTGGGGTCGCCCGCCTGGACCGCATCTACACTTCTCTCTCGGCCCCCGTCTTGAATGATTTGGCGGTGACGGTAAATGCCCTGGGGCGTGCCGTGAAGACCTTCGCCTCGTCTGACCACATCCCTGTTGCGGCCACTGTCGCTCTGAGAATGCCATCAGCACTACCCACCCAGATTCCGAAGTGGAAATCCCGACATGGAGCTCACCATGAGTTGCGTGCCAGCGCTATTATGGAAATCGACCATGGTTTGACCCCTCGGGAGAAACTGGCTCGGGTGAAGGAGATATTCTGGCAGATGGCCCCTCTGTTCAAGGCTCGGCTTCGGTTGAAGCCCCTGAAAGAGAATTGTGAGTAGCTCCACTTTGCTATGATGGCCTTCCGTGGGTGGCGTATGGGCAGTTTCGACCAGTGTGTGCGTGCGATACGCGCGCATCCTCAGTTGCTTCAGTATTTTGATCCAGACCGGGAGAGATGCTTGGATATAGTCGGCTTGGGTGCATTGGTGCAGTCTCTGAAGGATGCTTGGTATGAGTCGGAGGAACGGGCGATGGACGGGTGGGAAGATGACGAGAAGTCTAAGGCTAAGGCCATGGCCCGCTTGCAACACCCTCGTCGTGCTTGGTCAAAGATGCGGCGGCGATATGGGCTCTCTGGGGTCCTGGACAGTTCCGGGCAGGTCTGCCCTTCTCCGACGGCCTCTGCTGAGGCCCTTCGGGACCATTGGCAGGCGGTTTTTGCCGCCAAGGAACCTGATCGGACCCTGTGGCCTGAAATCCTCGCTCATGCCCAGCCGATCCAGTTGGACCCATTACATTGGAAGTTGGACGTTGATAGTTTTATTGAGCGTGCCCGATTTAAGCATCACTCTGCCCCTGGGGAAGATGGCATTCCTTATGGGTGCTGGAACGCTGAGGGGGCCGCTGATGTTCTATTTGCTGTTTATGATGAGATGTACCAAGCGTCGGGGGGTACTGTTTCAGCGTGCATGCGTCGAGGAAGGGTGTGTTCCCTGCCCAAAGACTTCAAAGGCGACGAGAACCCCGCGGTCCTAGTTCAGTCGCCTGATAAGACTCGCCCACCCACGCTTGCGAATACCGATGCGAAGCTCCTGAGTGACGCCTTCTCCATTGGCCTCCAGCGGGCTGCACCGTCCGTGATCGATCCGATCCAGCGGGGGGGGGGTCCCGCGGCGTGGGCTCCTTGACACCGTGGTTGAGATTTAATGGTGGGGTCTTCGTCAGATGCTTACTGGCGGGGATCGCTCGGGCATTCTTTTTCCGGACTTTAAGGCTGCGTTCCCCTCTCTGATCGCCTCCTGGATCTTGTACTGGTATTGCTCTTTCGGTGGAGCGCGGGGTGCGGCAAGGTGACCCTGCTTCGATGCTCCTCTTCGTTTATGCGTTAGACCCAGTATTGCGTTGGATGAGGGCCAAGCTCACTGACCATGCCCCTCGGATTAGAGCGTGCGCTGATGACCTCTCCTTCTGCCTTCCCAACATCTTGACTGACCTCCAGCCGACGCTCTCGCTCCTTCGTAAGTTGGAACATGCTGTTCGACTTGGGCTGACCATTCCCAAATGTAAGGTACTGGTGACTGGCTCGCTTGATCCTGATAGACTAGTTGCCCACCTTCGAGCCAAGGGGAGTACTACCTGATAGACTAGTTGCCCACCTGATAGACTAGTGAGTACTACCGCATTGGGTTTGTTCGCGTGGTTCTATACTTGGCATTCTGGCTTGGGCCTGGGGCCCTGGACAAATTATGGAGCAACGCCATCCCCAAGTTCTGGATGACGCTTCGGAGGCTTCGTGGGCTAGGGCTTGGGCTCCCACAGACCATTCGCTTTTTCCACTCGCACTGCATTCCGATTCTGGCGTACCAGTTACAACTCTGTCCAGTGACCAAGGCTTTTCGTACAGCGTATAATGAGGCCTTACAGGTGATTACTGCTGGTCCCCGCCATGTTTTCTCGCGGGAGATGCTGGCGGGCATGCGAGCGTTGGGGGCATCTTTAGAATGCTTGGATATCGATTGTTTTTCGAAAGCTATCAAGTTTCGGGTGGTGATGTCTTGCTCCCGTATTGATGCTATCCAGTATGAGATGGAGTCGTTGACGGTTTCCCTGGACGACGATAACTTCACTCCCGCTCGGCTGTTCTGGCTCTGGTGGAAGTCTTCCTGGATCAGGACTACGGTGACTGAAGTAGGCAACTTCACGGTCCCGTCTCTGGAACCCATCCCCAAGAAATCCCTTCAGAAGAAAGCTATGCGCAAGCTCAGAGGGCTCCGTGACCCCACTGTCCCCCTTCGCACCATGGTCCAGAGGGTGTCCAAGTGGGTGGGTCCCGACCGTTTTACGGTAGCTGACTTTCAGGTGCTTGCCCAGAGGATGCGTAAAGTTGAGAAGTACAGCACGATGCACCTCGAAACGTGGGTCCTTAGAGTGCTCTGCCGTGGGGTCTGTACCTCCAGTCGGCTGCGTACCACGGTGGAGGGATGTGCGTTTGGGTGTCGTCTGGAAGCGGCTGACGACGACCTGAGGCAGTATCGCGTGTGCCCCAAGTTGAAGGAAGGGTTGATTGGCATATTCCCCCGTGGAGGACTTCTGAGGTCTTGGACCGCGGCTCTAACGGATGAGGACTGGCTCCTCACTCTTTGTTGTTTGGGGCCACAGTGGGGGCGGTCACGTGACCTAGTGGGGCGCGCCCTTGTTGATTGCTTTCTGGCCGCGCATAATGCTCGCAGGACTGGCTCGGTC